AAAAAAAAAAAAAAAAAAAAAACTGCGGCAGCGCGATCGCACCGCTCCACACTTTGGCGGCAATTCAGTGGCGGGTCCTTCGCTCCCAGAGGGATTGAGGGACCCGCCGCCAAATTGCCACTGAAGACCCGGACGTGCTACCCCTTAGTATTGGCTGCCCCAAGCACCTGCTTCTTTAACTGGTGCCTGGAGCCGGCCCTGCTGCCTACTCTGTGTGACCTCATGTTCCTGTCACTGTTCCCCTTATCCTGTGTTATACCCATTTTCTTTGCATGTTTTCTTACATTAGATTTTCAAAGAAGAGCCTATCTCTTACTATCTATTTGTACAGCACCTAGCACAATAGGGGCCCAATTCTGATTGGTACCTCAGCACTACTGTAAGACACGTTATCAATAGTAATAATTTCTAGGGTAAAAGGAGAATTCAGTTACCATGCCCACTTTTCCTTTTCTCTTTCCTATGATAAATTATAGCATATATTTTTCTCTGTTGACCTCAGTGTCTCTTTCTTTCTTTCTTTCTTTCTTTCTTTCTTTCTTTCTTTCTTTCTTTCTTTCTAAGACCACACTTCTCTTATTTAACTGAACCCATCAATCTCTTATTTTATCAAAGTTTGCAGTTTGTTAGAGCTATGAACAGCAGTATGGGCACTGTCCAGCTACAGACTCAGGAAGATTATATTGCAATGGTTTACATATGTCTTTTGTTTTGAGTAGCTTTGCAATCAAAAGGGCTAGAAATTTAATTTAAGAAAGAAAAGAAAAGCTTACATTTAGCAGAAATGGATGACATCCATCTGGAAAAGATTCCTATTTACCAAGGGCAAGGTGGATGCAGGCCCTCCAACAGAAATTCCATGGCCAGGGGCGGAAGTGCTGGCCAATCATGCCAGCATGGGGCCCGGAGCATTCCTGTGTATGTAGGAGCCCTGCGGCCTGCCCAGGTGATTTTAAAAGGGCCCAGGGCTCCCAGCCGCTGCTACTGTGGCAGCAGCAGTGGCCCCATGGCAATTGCCCCCTTTGCCCCCCCACCCTGTCAGCAGGCCTGGGTGGATGAATGGATGTTCAAGCCATAAATATTTATATAATGATCATTCTGAAGCTTGGAATGTCTGTACAGTCAGTGTGAACTGATGGAAACAGCTACAGCCAAGGCTGAGAGTCCTTTGTTCAGAATAACATCAGTTTTAATCATTATGGGGGTTTGCAGTCTGTTACATGCAATTTTTAAGTTCTCAGACATTTTGACTTTATGAATTACACCCATGTGGTGTACAGCTACAATAAGGCATGCCAAGAGTCCTGGACCATTGTGATATTAGTGGTAACTCACCCAATCACCACCCTTACTCTACAACTAATCTGCATGTAACAATTTCATTACTGTGTTTGGGAGACTGCACAGATGGTGGATTCACTTGGCCCAACTGCCACAGTTCTTCAAAACCACCTACACAAGAACACAACCAGCGCACACAATAACCCCAAACACACATCCTCATTTGCCACCCACACAAATTCACACAATTCTCCCAGCACACCACAACCCACACACAAATCAACACAGCTATCCCAGCACAACCCACACATTTGCCCACTCTCTCTCACACTTACCATAAAACCATAGCCACAGATTATCATCGGTTTCAATCGTGACCAAGATTTGTGGTCTATTACCATCCAATTTTTAAATTCTCAGCCAGTTTTGGCTTTCCTACACACAGCTTTATGACAGGTTTCAGAGTGGTAGCCATGTTAGTCTGTATCAGCAAAAAGAACGAGGAGTACTTGTGGCACCTTAGAGACTAACATACAGTATTTATTTGGGCATAAGCTTTTGTGGGCTAAAACCCACTTCATCAGATGCACGGAGTGGAAAATACAGTAGAACATGAAAAAATGGGGGTTGCCATACCAACTCTAACTTTTGTAGTGATAATCAGGATGGCTCATTTCAAACAGTTGACAAGAAGGTGTGAGTAACAGTAGGGGAAATAGTTTTTAGTTTGTGAATTATCCCTCTGATGGCCTTTCAGCTACTAGTTATTTAAATTTGACAAAATATTACTCCCAAAAAGCTGCACAGCATATATATTTTTTAAATAAAATAAACAAGTACTTACCTCTAGAATATCATTTTATACTTATTGTATATTACTAGCTATGGCAACTGTACTTTGCCAGTTAATATATAATTTTGGTCTTAACGTCCAAACAGAAACATATTTATGTGGTATATAACAACTTAAATGAGATGATTATTCTCTCATTTCATTTACATGGAAAGATGAGAGATACTCTATCTACCATGTTTCTGATGGAAGGATAGGGTCCTAAATTATGTTTTTAAATCAGGCCCATATCTAATGTGCTACAGTATCTCAGAAAAATGTGCAGGGATTTCTTACAGTTACTATCATAACTTGAATTAACTCTTGAATTCCTCTTTCATATTAATAGTAAAGCACAACATATTGGGAGACATAGACATATTTGTAACATTATTTAACAGAATACCAGGTACAGCGAACAAATATTTGTGCATCTCAGCAAGGAATTATTTTTAACATATTTTTCCTATCTACTGTGATACATTAAACACTTATTTGTCCAAAGTCACTTTTTTTAAAAATAGCAAGCCATGTTTTTCCTTCTCTGTGAATAGACATAATTAAAACAAAATGTCGGAGAGCAGTAATGTAGTAATCTACATTACTTCTGTTTATATAAATATACAGGGCACTTTTTCTTGTGGTTAGTGTTTGTTGGGAGCAAACACAGATTTAGACTTGACAGAAGCCTACTGTGATTTAACATTTTAACAGAGTAATGTTTAGTGTTGTGTTTATGTAAGAAATTGTAAAGTAATCCAGTTTGTGGGGAAAATAGAAGATAAAGTAACTACACAGCCATAAGAAACTGGTTTGAGGGTATGTCTACAACAGCAACTAGACATGTGCAGCTGGCCCCCGCCCCCCTCCGTCAGCCGACTTGGGCTCGTGCTGCTCCATTGCTGTGTAGGCTTCTGGGCTCAGGCTGGTGCCCAGGCTCAGGACTCTGTGGGGTAGGAAGGCCCTAGAGCTCTGGCTCCAGCCCAAGCTGGGAAGTCTACGCAGCAATGAAACAGCCCCGCAGCCCAAGCCCCTCAAGTCCGAGTCGCAGGTTTTTCTTTGTTGTGTAGACAGACCCTGAGTTAGCTCAAAACCTCTTCTGAGAGAGAAGAGTTAACACTGAATGAGAGACTAATACATAGGGCCCTACCATATTCATGTCCATTTTGGTCAATTTCATGGTCACAGGATTTTAAAAATTGTAAATTTAATGATTTCAGCTATTTAAATCTGAAATGTCACTGTGTTTTAATTGTAGGGGTCCTGACCGAAAAAAGAGTTGGGGGGGGATCACAAAGATTATTGTGTGGGGGAGGGTTTGTGGTATTGCTACCCTTACTTCTGCACTGCTGCTGGTGGCGGCGCTGCCTTCAGAGCTGGGCAGCTGGAAAGCAGCAGCTGCTAGCTGGGAACCCAGCTCTAATGGCAGAGCCGCTGTCATCAGCAGCACAGAAATAAGGATGGCATGGTATGGTATTGCCACCCTTACTTCAGCACTGCTGCCTGCAGAGCTGGGCCCTTAGTCAGCAGACACCACTGTCCGGCCACCGACCTCTGAAGGCAGCGCAGAAGTATGAGTGGCCATACCACATCTCCCCTAAAATAACATTGCAACCCCCCTGCAACTCCCTTTTGGGTCAGAACCGCTAGTTTGAGAAACACTGGTCTCCCCTCTGAAATCTGTATAGTATAAGGTAACGTGTTTTTCATGACCGTGAATTTGGTAGGACCCTACATAGGTATAAGAAAAGATGATAAAAAGTTTTATGTACAGCCAGTGTAACAAAGAGAAGCTGTATAGTGTGCCGCTGGAGGTGACTGCAGTGACTCACAGGGTCAGGGTCTCACTGATTGCCATATTTGGGGTCAGGAAGGAATCTTCCCCTGGGTCAGAAGGGCAGAGACCTGGGGGGTTTTCACCTTTCTCTGCAGCACAGGCCATGGATCACTTGCAGGTTTAAACTAGTGTAGGATTTCAGTAACTCAGCCACAGGTTAGGGGGCTATTTCTGGAGTGGGAGCATGCAGGAGGTCAGACGGATAATCATGATGGTCCCTTCAGACTTTAAAGACTGTAAGTGCATCCTGATGTGTGTTTCACTTGTAATTGATCACCACTTATGCATGCTTGCCTTCATTAAGATTTTTTAGCTCCATCTGCAGCATGGTGGAAAAGCTCTATCCACCAGTGTTCAAGGCAATCACCCAAGCCACTGTATTCCTGTTCCTCTTTACAACCAGGAAGCCTTCTGTTGGGTTAAAATGCAAAGCAGGTGCTCAGGCCTAGCTAACACAGGCCAGCCAACTGACTCCAGTTCCCCTAACCTCTGGCTCTGCAGACATACCCTATGTTAGCTGCTGAGGGCTGACAGCGAGGCTCAGGGGCCGTGTACACTCAACTGGGGTGACCAGACAGCAAGGGTGAAAAATCGGGACAGGGAGTGGGCAGTAATAGGCAGCTATATATGAAAAAGACCCCAAAATCGGGACTGTCCCTATAAAATCGGGACATCTGGTCTCCCTACCACTCAACTACACTTGCGTAGAAGGGGACATTTGAGGCCCCACCCCAGTTTGTACCACCACCCTGGAGCCTACTGCATCACCCCTGCCTATGGAGCTGCGGGCTCATGCATCCGGCCGCACCAGTGCCCTCGCCACACGCGTCTCGCGGGGCACAGCACCCACCGGAAGGCCGGAGGCGGAAGCGAGCGCTTCCGGGGGCAAAGGGGCCGCGGCAAGATGGCGTCGCCCATGGAGCTGAGTTGCTGGGGAGGAGACTGGGGCCTGCCGTCCGTGCACACGGAGTCCTTGATTGTCATGGTAACGGCCGGGGGGTCGACCCAATCAGCTCGCGGGAGGTGGGGAGGGAAAGTAGCTCGCGCCCGATCGGCTCGCGGACCTGGATGGCCCCAGCTGGCACCGCGCTGGGGGCGGTCGGGGAGGCTCTGCGGGGCGGCGCCGCCGCTGCAGATGCCCGTGAGCTGCTGCCGGGCGCGGGGTCCTAGTTCCCGTCTCAGTGTCGGCGGAGCCGGCTGCCGGTCTCTGCCTTCGGCGATCGCAAACGGCCTCAGCTCCCGTTGCAGCGCGGCCCCCGGCTAGAGCCCTGTCCGTGCCCTGCCCGGCTGCGGGAAATCCTGCCCCGCGCTGTGGCCATTGAAATAACTCCGGGAAGCGGTTCCCTTCCATCACTGGCCTCTGTCTGACGTTGGTTACGGTTCATGCCGCCTGCCGGTTCCCTGATACCGAATGGCGTGTTATTTATACCTAGCACGAGACTCTGTGTTGGCTACAGGAAAGCGATGCTACCTTCCCTGGCAGGTGCTAGTGTCAGAGGTGAGCAGAAAGCCCATTAATTGAAGTGTAGCAACATTATTGTTCACTTCTGTGTCTTTGGTGATTGTTCAGTACGGAAAATTATTTCTTTAAAACTATATGACAGTTTGAGGAGTTTACAACCTAAAATACTAATCCTGATATCCGATCTGCTTTGGTGGACTTTTACACCATTGCAGAGCTGCCCTGAAGTCATTGAGCCTGCACAGATGAGATTGCATGGTCAGGAGGTAGGGAATTGCTGCCATGTCTTTTTCCATGTAGTCTCTAGAGCAGGGGTGGCCAGCCTGAGTCTGAGAAGGAGCCAGAATTTATCAATGTACATTGTCAAAGAGCCACAGTAATATGTCACCAGTCCCCCATCAGTGTTCCCCCTCTCCCCCCCCCCCCCCAGCGTCTCCTGTCCAGCAGCCTGGTGGATCAGCACCTCCCCACACCTCTGATCAGCTGTTTTGCGGTGTGCAGGAGGCTCTGGGGGGGGGAGGGGGAGGGGGAGGATATTCTTAACTCATAGTTTCCTAGAAAAATTGGGACATTTAAAAATTATTCTAGCTAACCACCACTGCCTGAAACTGCCTAAACCAACCCTTTAGCAATTAATATAAATACAAGTTACAGCAAGACATTTTAACTCTTAGCACAAAAAGATTAATGTTAGTCATCTGTCTGTTAAAAAATACACTGTGCATAATGAAGTTGAGATCATGTACTATTAACAACGTGGCTACCCAGAAGTGCTCTAGCTTAGTGATATCAATTCTTAAACAGATCACATTTTTTTGGAAATGCTGACTAGAATTTTTAATGCAACTTTTATTGCAGGCTTATGCCAGATTTTCTGGAGCTCCAGTGAAAGTGAATGCTATTGATAACTCATGGAGAGCTCCAAAAGGTACTTCCTTTTGTAATTTTTTTTCCTGTGCACACTAGCCATTTTACAAATGAAGGACTGAGTTTTCAAATACTTGTATGTACATGCCAAACTTTTACACATGCGAGTAATCTATTTGACTTCAGTGGGTCTACTCACATTAATGAAGTTAAGCAGGCATGTAAATATGTTTACAACATCAAGCCTGGAAATTGTCTGACAATAAAGTGCTATCCGGAGGGTATAAATAGTATGTCCTGGATCACTATGTAAATTTGATACAACTCACAATCAACAAAACACTGAAACTGACTATACCTATAGTTTTGTCAAACACACAAAGTAAACAAATTGAACCCGGAAAAAATAAAATGTTTCTAATCTTTCAGCACAGTATAGCTAGAGGTTATTTGTTACTATTCAAAATAGTAGCCACAGAACTTTCAAATGGAAATTAGATTATCAAGTTACCAGTGTTCCTTTAAATTAGGTGTAACTTGGTTGGAAGATGAGTGTAAGCGTCAAGAAGTATAATTTGCACCAATCTGAATGTGCAAAACCATGCTGAATTTATTTGCACAAAGGTGGATTAAAAAGAGGGTGTATGAGAAATACAAATAAGAGGTGGGTTTAAGATAAGATGCTAGGGAAGCCTTTATTTTGGACCAGTTTATTTCCTTCGCCATTGGCATGTAAATTGCATTCCTTTTGCACAACCTCTGGAAACCAAATCAGTGCAAGTTAAACTAATTTGCCACTTCTACCTGTCACAGGATTAGGTTGTATATCACTTATATCCACACAGAAGTTGGCCCCTTATGACTTGTAGGGCCAAATTCATCCCTGGTATATCTCTTTGACTTTAGTGAATTACATCAGGAACTAATTTAACATATTTGCTCATAAAGTCTGTATTTTTTAACAAGTAACTATAAGGAAAGAACATTTTAAATTCCTCTAATTCTCCAAAACTCTGGTTCAATGTCGAATAGAGGAGAATGATCATATCCCTCGATCTGCTGGCAATGCCCCTACTTATACAGCCCAAAATGCCATTAGCCTTCTTGGCAACAAGGGCGCACTGTTGATTCATATCCAGCTTCTCGTCCCTTGGTCCTTTTCTGCAGAACTGCTGCCTAGCCATTTGGTCCCTAGTCTGTAGCAGAGCATGGGATTCTTCTGTCCTAGGTGCAGGACTCTGCACTTATCCTTGTTGAACCTCCTCAGATTTCTTTTGGCCCAATCCTCTAATTTGTCTAGGTCCCTCTGTATCCTATCCCTACCCTCCAGCGTATCTACCACTCCTCCCAGTTTAGTGTAATCTGCAAACTTGCTCAGGGTGCAGTCCATGCCATCCTCCAGATCATTAATGAAGATTTTGAACAAAACTGGCCCCAGGACCGACCTTTGGGGCACTCCGCTTGATACCAGCTGCCAACTAGACATGGTGCCATTGATCACTACCTGTAGAACCCGACGATCTAGCCAGCTTTCTATCCACCTTATAGTCCATTCATCCAGCCCATACTTCTTTAACTTGCTGGCAAGAATACTGTGGGAGACCGTATCAAAAGCTTTGCTAAAGTCAAGGAATAACACGTCCACTGCTTTTCCCTCATCCACAGAGCCAGTTATCTTGTCATAGAAGGCAATTAGGTTAGTCAGGCACGACTTCCTCTTGGTGAATCCATGCTGACTGTTCCTGATCACTTTCCTCTCCTCTAAGTGCTTCAGAATTGATTCCTTGAGGACCTGCTCCATGATTTTTCCA